GGGGAAGACTGGGTATGTAAGGAGGGCCGAACTTCTGGGACTCTCCTTATATACTGTACCCAGTCTTCCCCTCCAGTGATCTTTTCTTTCTTTTCTCCGAAGGGGGAAGACTGGGTATGTAAGGAGGGCCGAACTTCTGGGACTCTCCTTATATACTGTACCCAGTCTCCTCCGGTGATCTTTTCTTTCTTTTCTCCGGAGGGGGAAGACTGGGTATGTAAGGAGGGCCGTACTTCTGGGACTCTCCTTATATACTGTACCCAGTCTTCCCCTCCGGTGATCTTTTCTTTCTTTTCTCCGGAGGGGGAAGACTGGGTATCTAAGGAGGGCCGAATATATACTGTACCCAGTCTTCCCCTCCGGTGATCTTTTCTTTCTTTTCTCCGAAGGGGGAAGACTGGGTATGTAAGGCGATTGCCAGGAAGAGGTCACAGTTTTTTCCAATAGTTGTGCGTTTTTTTGGTGGACTCTGCGTACCACTTGGGTGGTGATCGTGGCAACAGCCTTCCAGTCCCAGGCCATCGAGACGACCATCGAAGAGGCGACGAATCACCGACACTTGGTCACGGTAAGATGGGAGAAGAGGACGTCCCAGAGGGTTGGTCTGTTGAGTCACCAGATAGGTCCGATAGGTCAAGAACTTCTGAGAACAAACTCGTATTCAGAAACTACTTCGTTGCATTCAGACACTATGTTCCTCGTATTTGTAAAATTTGTGGGGGTGTCGAGGGGGTGGCGGGGCAATAAACATAGGTGGGTAGTTGCGTGAAAAGTTGATGATCTCTGAATAGTGTTGGTGTTGCTCTTCGTAGTTTCCGAATACAAGTTTCCGAATACAACCGTCCAGTTTCCGAATACCAGTTTCCAAATAAACCCCTCCAGGTTCCCAATACAACCGTTCAGTTTCCGAATACAACCGTGACCGTCGGGAGTCTGTGGTTTCGAACCGCAGGCTTGGAGATGCTTGGAGTGGCATTTGTCTTGTTGATCGTATACAGTAACATTCACCTTTCAGCTCAGCATTGTTTGTGGATGGTCGTAGGCGCCTCCTGACCTGTAGCAATGAGCACCTGACTGCTTGATGCAGCTGCTGTGTACTGATGTTGATTTCCAGCGATGCAACGGGTGTGACATCTCCAACGTCAGACCGGCCGACCCGGTCTCTCTCGCTTTCGCGGACCGATTGGTGGTCTTCCGCCCCGATGTGATGTCTCCGACGGCACCTGGGGGCATGAACGCCGCGAAACGCCGCTTGGCGCGTTTCAGGGACCGTGGGCTCCACGCTGATGAATGCGACCAGCAGCCGAGCACACACCGTGCAGATCATCGAGTTCAAGGCACGGAGCTGGATCTGGGGTGGTCTCTTGGTGGTTGTGGCTCTGAGTAATGAAGCCAATAGGAGGTGACCGGCCCCGAGGCCTTTGGAGGGCCCACAGAAACCAAAGCCTCCAAGCACAGACACAGCACAAGACACTCTTGGGGTGCAAAGACATGGAAGAGGTGGCTTTATCATCACAAAAGGACAACGGGGTTTTGACCCGTGGCGCCGTGACGCCGAGTTGCTTCCAACGGCCTAGAAAACACGCCTATCACGGCTGCCTCAACGGACGCCGTCTTCCGGTGATTCCGGTGCTGCGATGGAATCGTCTCATGGCTTGGTCTTCAATTTTCCTGACCAAGCCATTGGGTGCAGTGAGGCCTTCAGACCTCTTCAGACCTCTTCAGACCTGGTCTCCCTAAATTTTTTGATGTGTGTAAAGCATTTATGGTCTTGATCGGGGACCCCGGGACCGCTCCTGGTCACCAGGCATTCGGAGAGACATGTCGATCCGGATGTTTTCCCGAAATTGGCTTCTGATCTCCCACGGGACATCGGTGATCTGTGGGTTTCGTTGGAGGAGGACCCATCCAGAAAACTCATGAAGCCACAGGAAGGAGGGTTGGTGAAGGGATCTGAAGCAATATCAGTGTCGGTTCCACCCACATAAATACGCCCAAAATATCAGCATGAAAGAGCACTCAGGGGCGGCTTTGTAGAGGACCATGGTATTCAAAAGGTGTATATTCCATGTCTCTGGCCATTGCCACTGGCCAGGCTGTGAAGGATGGATCTGCCACAGTGTCGATGATCAACTTGGCCACTGGGCTGGAGTGTCTCCCCATTTGGCCCATTTGGTGGCTGGTTTTTGGGCGATCCCATCATTTGGGCGTCAAGGGCATGTTTTGGGGAAGTTCTTGTATGGTTGGCGTTTCTTAGTCAATTTCTATCGACTCTTCTTCATCATGGTTCCAATGTGACGTGGCCGGCTATCACAGTAGACATACATTCCCATATGTTCATCGCATGCTTGTAGACTTGTAGATGGCCAACTTGCCCTAGTGTAGACGGATCAGCTCTTGACAGATATACACACCAGCAAACCGAGGAGCGGAACATCTGACGCGGGATTGTAACCAGTTCAGTCAGTCGTCTGAAGTGGAGGAGTGAAACATGTGCAGATCAGATCAGCCCCACTAAGGGGACCGAAGTCTTGAAGAAGTCCTGCATGGTTTGGATTGGCCATGAATGCAGTAATCTGGGTGTTTCGAGTTTCTACACCGATCATCCCTCGTCAAAGAACAGCCTTCAATGACAATTCACCCAAACAACCATCCACATCCGATCCATCACCCTCCGCCGGCCCTGACGTAGTCACGCCGCGGACGTGGTGAGTCGAGGGTTCGCCCAGGTCGACCTGGCTGGCAGTGAAAAGGCCGGTCGGCCGGTCCTCGTCGTGTGGGTTTTCCCTGTCGGGTGGGGTTCCTACGGCCTGGCCGCTGGTGGCTTCGGTGGAACCCGCTGAGCAAGTCTAACGCTGGGAGCCACACCGAGACTGAGGAGCCACCGATGACTGTGGAGGACAGCAGGACCAGTCCCTAGGACCCTAGGACCGGTCCCTAGGACCAACGGTCGATAGGCTGACCGCGATGACGTTCTATGAATGTTTGCTATAGGGTAAGCAACACCGACATCTCAGACCTTCAACATGAAACTCACCATTGCCGACATGGAAGAGACCATGCAGTTTTTCAGCTCCTGGGACGTTCGGGAACTTTTGGTGACCATTCGCCGTCATTCGCCATTCCCACAAGTGACCAGGTGACAAGGTGAAGTGTAGCTATTGAAGTCGATGTTGGAGATTCCATGTCTGTGTTGTTTGGAAAGTCAGCTGCCAAATTCTCTCCTTTTCTTCACAGATTTTCCACTCTTCAGTTCATGCTTGGCCGATCTCAACTCCATGACCATCCGGCACCCATTTGCAGACATCAGTGTGGCAGACACACACACACACACACACGTAAAAATCCTTCTGCCCACATGCTCCGTTCACAGCCCGACCGGTTCCTCCAAAAACCTGGAGGTTTTTGACCCCTGACCCGAGGATTCGGGTCGCGCCGGGTGAATGCACTTGATCTGCGGCGCGTTTCTTGAGGCAGGGCAGACGGGTGCCACAGGGGACCGACTGAAGGAGGGCTCCATGATCAACAAATCCTTGAGCGCGTTGGGCCGCTTGAAACTGCAGCGTTTCAGGGTTCGGATGGGGAAGGAAACCCATGGTTCGGACCTGTGTTTCACAAAGGGGCACAGGATGGGAGAAAGTGATGCGCATTTTGTGGTGGAGGAGGCCAAGCAAGTGTGTACACACATATATTTTATAATATTTACACTTGTTCTAGATTGCAACCAGTAGAATGTAACATCTCTATTTTGAGGTTCGGAAATCAGTAAGGCACAGGCTGAACAGGAGCTATCAGGAGCTTGTAGACCAACGGGGGGACCCATTGCCGGCATGCTGAGGAAACGTCATCGAGAAGCTAGCGGATCGAGGATCGGAGAAGAAGAAGAATGTGCCACGGAGCAATGCACCGCTGTGGGGGTCTTTGATCCTCTAATAGCTTCTTGTTACTACTAGTAAGGCACTTGTTCCTACTAGTAAGGCACTTGTTACTAGTAGCGAGGCACCTGTTCCTAGTAGCTTCTTGTAACCCTCTGGTACTTGGAGTTTTGGGCCCCATGAACTCACTCTGTACCGGCATGGCCACCTGATTGGTGAAAAGGCCTGGCACCTGATGGGCAGCCGAAACCGCGGTCAGGTGCTGATCCCCTATCGCGATTCCAAGCTCACTCGACTCTTGCAGAATGCCCTCGGCGGCTCCAGCAAGACCATCATGACCGGAAACGTGCGGATGCGGATGCGGAAACGCTCGTCGGCCCGAGCGAGCGGGGAGAACGGTCTTAAGAGGCGGTTTGGTGCGTTGCGGTTGTCAACTGGAATCCCAGAACTCGGGTTTGATTGGACAGCTTGATGCCTATCCCAGGCTTTGGCTTCTGCCCATGCGGGACAAGTGTGCATATGTCCCGAGTGAGTGATTAAACATCTTTGGTTTTGGGGAGCAACCAACAACTTGACTGGTAGGATGCGCAAACCAAATTCCATTCAAAGTTCAAAGATGCGCAAACCAAACCCGCTCGTTCCGCCGGAACGTGTCTCAGCGGACCATGGCTGCCCAGTCTCAGCGATTTGGATGGCTTAGCTCCGCCACTCAGGTATGTCTGGATTGAAATGGTGTGGTATGTCTCTTTGCAAGGTGTTCCAACATGATCCTAATGGTGTGTTCCAAAATGATCCTCATCGTGTGTTCCAACATGACCCTCATCGTGTTTTCCAAAATGACCCTCATCGTGTGTTCCAGAATGGTCCTAATCTTGTGTTCCAAACTGATCTCAATCGCGTGTTCCGAAATGACCCTCATCTTGTGTTCCAAAATGAGCCTAACCGTGTGTTCCAACATGATCCTCATCGTGTGTTCCTAAATGATCCTAATCGTGTGTTCCAAAATGATCCTAATGGTGTGTTCCAAAATGACCCTCATCGTGTGTTCCAAAATGATCCCAATCGTGTCTTCCAGAATGGTCCTAATCGTGTGTTCCAAAATGATCCTAATCAGCTAATCGCGCTTCCAGAATTATCCTAATGGTGTGTTCCAACATGATTCTTTTCCCTCTTTGTGCAATGCGTAGCTGCTCCTTTCTTCTTGGCTTCAGAACCCAAGAGCTGACCCACCGTTCCATGTTCAACCCACCGGCGCGAGGATCTGCGCGTTGTCACCAGCCTCCTCCAACCACGAAGAGACGCTCTCAACGTTGCGCTATGCCGACCGTGCCAAGAAGATCAAGTGAATTGGCCGATCTGTTTGGTCGATCTGGTTCAGGGACCAGAGATTCGTTTTGGGTGGAACTGAGAGCACAATGGTTTCTTTTGATGCCATTGATTCTTTAGGCTGGTTGATCAATGGTTCCTTTCTTTCTGCTGAAACGAACCATGGATTTGGTTGAGAGCGCAATTGGCAAAGAAGACGGACCTTTGTAAAGACGACAAACAATTCGTTTCTGATCGGAGAACGATTCAAACTTGATACCAGGCAAGTTGTACACATGCATTTGCCTGATTGGGTGTTGGGTTGGTGACTGTTTGGTGGATGGTTCATGTATTGCAAAATGTATCACAGTTGCATCATTTGCATCACCAGATCTCTGAAAGGCCAACAGACGACTCCTTTCCAAAAGTTTTGACACTGAACGTGTACTACTTCATGTTCTATACCCTGCGCTGCCAGTACGGCGCACCACTTCCAGATCAAATACATGCATTTTCATGTCGTTTTATTGCATGCTTTCTCCCATCCAGACACACCTCATGATGCCGGGTATGCAATTCTGTTCGCAATGCCCTGGGTAAAGCTATAGGGGCCTCAACGTCTAATCAGCAATGGATGAGTCGTGGAATCCACACCTTTTGCAACATTTCTACGCCTTACCAAAAAATAAGTTAGAGTGTCAGCAAATTGATGCTTTGTTTGCAAAACTTGTGAAAATGAATTGGCACGCCCACTGCCTTCCCGACTTGATCATTTGGCGCCCAAAGCTGCGGGTGTTCATTTGGAAAATCTGCTGCTGTCGGCTTTGCGACTCCGAGGAACATCGCTGTGCCCAACGAGAATCCCCAGGTGACGGTGTCTGACTTCGAGTCAGATGACTTCGAGATGACTTCCCCAACTTCGATGGTCATATCAATCATATCTCTTTGTGGCTAACTGGGTGAACAGTTAGAAGTTATTATATGTAGAGTATAAATAGCTTCCTGCACAACGAAGAACTTACGAACCCAGTGCTTGTGACATGAATCTGACGAAGCCAATTTCCGATTCCATGATGGGACTGTGGACCAGTACCCGGTGGCCAGTCCAATCAATCTCGTTCCGGGCAACTAAGCTGCGTGGTTTCCTGATTTGCAGCCTAGCGTTTGGATGATGTGAACAAACCAACCCTGGGAGCGTCATCTAGTTGGCCTTGGCCAGGAACGCTTGATGCGAGAGCTTCGGGAAGAGAACGAAAAGTTCAAGAAGATCTTCGAAGCGATGCAAGGCCAGCGCGGGGGCCACCGGCGGGGGGCACCGGCGGGACATCGGGGGGGGGGGGGGGGCGCATCCCTTGGATCGTCCCATCCGAAGAATCCCGTGTCGATGGTCCGTCCAGCGCCTCCACTAGATATCCCCGGCTCGGTTCAGGGGTTCTGGATTTGCGGGTCCAAATCACACATGGGAAGCCCAGCCCCGAAGAAAGATCCAACGGTTTCAGAGCAACGGTCCAGTTTGACTAAGTTTGACTATGACTATCTCAAACTGGGGAAACCTGCAATACAAAGACACAGCATGACACAGCTGCAGCTGAAGAATGGCTTGATTAGACAAGTCCCTTGCCTTGGGGGCTATCAAACGCGGCCCATCCCTCCTGTGGGTCCGACACCTGGCAGACTCTGAACAACGCCGCGCTGGGGCGCGAACGTGCGTGGCACTTCAGGTGGGACCATGCCCAGTGCAGATGAGATCAAGGAGCATGCCTAGGGGCGGCACAGACGCGTCGGCTGCCCGGGGAGTTCCGGGGTTTGCATCTCGTTTTTTGGATGCTGGGTCAAACATTTTTTTGTGGGCCACCGGCCACTGGGATGTCTCGAAAGAGTAATTATTGTTTTGGCGTCCAACTCGGGTCAGGGCTTTTGACCTGCTTGCAGAGGACTTGCTGCTGCGATACCTGTGGTGGCTCCAACGTTTCAGTAGCAAGAGAGATCCCTAGCTGCCTAGCTTCGATTGGTTAAGCAGATGACGCCGAAGGAGCAAGACTACCACTACTAAATCACTACTAGTGGATTTAACAATTTTTAATATGGAGAGCGTGGATGCTGCCGGCAACATAAAAGCATTGCTCGAAGTTGAACATGAGTGTGAACAAACGCATTTTGTCGCCAAAACGAAACATGCAAGCTGGACTCCTCAGAGAAAAACAGCATCCAGATATTGGCAGTCCTTCTCAGCCCTGTTTGAGGGAAAGGCCCATGTCCTTTTTCTCTTTTCCTCATCTCATTCTTTCCATGAACAAAGGATCCGTTTCCATTCTGGATGTTGCCCGCCCCCATCGGTATGCATCGGCATCCATCGGTTTCCTCCATCCGCTCCAGGAGATGGGCTTGGCCCAGCAGGAAATCGCCGCCATGGAGGGCGCCCTCGCTGAGCTGAACAAGAGCTCCTTGGTGGTCGGACCGAGCGTTGGCACCGGGCGCGGTTTTTGGAGGCGCGTTTTGGGATGCGGGGTTCCACAGGCTAACTGGAAAGGGGGCCCTCTTTTGGGGGGGGGGAGTGTTTGTTTTGCTGTTGATGTGTCAACCCCTAGTGCGCGGGTTTTATTCATCAAGCTTCTGCCTTCGAATTCTGTGGTCTTCGTCTTTTAATTCGTCGCTTCGACGCGTGGCCTCTCCTTCCGGCCTTCCGGCCTGAGGCTGGGAGGACAAGGTGGCCGAATCCAGAGAGCAGCAGGAGGTGCCACGCTGTGCATGGCTTTCCTGGTGTTCAACCGACTTGAGATTCCAACTGGATGGGGTCAAGACACTGGATGGTTGAATGATAGACAGGGTGGTTTCTTGGTTCCTAGATTCAAGCCCAATCTCACCGTACCCAGGACCCACCAGCGCACCCACTCTTTGCGCGCGCTCCCAAGTCTATTGGATCTATTTTTGGACTTATTTTTTAACGACGCGCAGATTAAAACTCATTTTTTAAGGGATACATTGTGGTTTCTTTTCAGGTTTATTCTTAGACAACCCTCCCCATCCTCCCCTCAAACCCAAACATCGAACCAGGCAGCGCGGATGCGGCGCTCCTCCGTGAACGGCGTGGCGGCGCTGAAGAAGAACCTGCAGCCAATGATGGCTGCTCGGTCGATTACCTGGGGCGAAACCTTGGTGGATGAAAATGTGGGTGACACTTCGATGGTGTTTCGGTGGGTTTGGTGTCAGGCGGAAGTTCACACATTGACCAGACCAACCGATGGGTGTTTGGACCAGGACCAACCGATGTGGTCATGCCTCGGCCTCGGCCATCTACTCGCCGGGTCCGTGCGCTCCCATTTCGGATGTTGTGTGACCTCTTCAGAGGTGATGTGACCCGGTCTGAGAACTCCCATTTCTGTCCATTTCTACAGAAAACCAGGTCTTTTCCAAGGGACACAAGGGAGGCGAAACCAAATCCTTGGATGTTTCACGGAGAGAACCCACCCAAGAGTTTTTGTGTCAAGGCAGCAGCTGCTGGAGGGAGAAAGAAACGACATGTCTGTTTCGCTTGACCGTTCGTTTGGGCCGCCAAGGTGAATCTGAACGAGGACGGTCGGGTGTTTGGTGATTTCAGGCCAGCAACACTCAGCAACACTGACAAAGATGGATGCCTGGTAGTCCATTTGGTTCATTAGGAGGACATCATTGGATTTGGACATGACTCACATGTTCGATTCTTGCCAATGGTGTTGAGATCCGCTGACGGAAAAGCGATGAACTAAATGTCAGTGGGTTGGAGGATGCCCCTTTTTCAGACACTCAGAGGTTTGACATTTTGATATTTCTATTTTAATCTATGGGAAAGAAAGCCAGCTCTGGGTGGCACAACTCATGCAGATCTTCAAGCTTTTTGTGGAATTACCAACAACCTTCCCACCCTAGCCATCCCTCGCCAAACATCAATCAGGCGCTTAAAAGAGAACTGAAATCATGATGAGACAGGTGCCACATGTCTTTTGCACAACCTGATTGGTGTACAGTTGATACGCCCAATTGGTGATGTTTTTTTTTTGTGGGGAGAACGACACAGGCGTTAGGCAGTAGACCTATGAGGTAGGCGGTAGGCACAAAAATCTGGAAAGTGTATGTCACACATGCCTCCGTTGTTTTGCGCTCCCAATCAGACTGAGAGAAATGGTTTCTGAGACTTTTCTACTTATATAAATCTAGTATATAATTCATGTATTTGGGAGAAGGCCGGTGTAATCTTTGTCAATACACGAGCCATAGACACACAAGAACAAAGCCATTGCTTAGTTAGTTCCTTCATGCCGTGAATACACTGGGAACAGATGGAACTTCACCAGTCATCACACCAGTGGTGACACTTCTATGTTGGCGCACCCTCCTCACCAACAATGTGAAATGGCCGAGTCGACCCTGGACATTCCATGAATTTACAGTTTCCATCAGTATACTCTAATCTAATCAGAGGGTGTTTCCACTTCATGTCAACAAACCACTCAGAGTGTCACTGCGCTTTGCGTTTTTTTCCACAAGTCTACTGTTGGGATTCTCGGTTCTCTCTTATTAGGAAAACAAGGCCAGGTTGGCCACAGTCTCAGGCCGCGCGGGATACACGCAGTGTCCGGGCGTTGTCCTCCTGTTGTCCTCTTCTTGCCCGTTGTACAAGGTGTGCAGCTTGGCCGCGGCTTTCTTGACCTCTTCTTGTCCTCCTGTTGTCCTCTTCTTGTCCTCCTGTTGTTCCCTTGGTGTCCTTCTGCTGGTGTCCAGATGACAGCATGGCAGCATGAAGACATGACACCACCAAGCGCAATCAAAGGGTCCAATGAGAGAAAGCAATTGCACACCTAGTGGGAAAGGGCCAGCCGGCAAGCGCGAAGACCGCAGTACCCCAGCATGGCCGTGGCAGCCTGTCAGCGTGTAAAGATGGCAACATGCGAGCGATGCCCTCTCTTGTCCTCCTGTTGTCCGCTCCTTGTGGGCTTCTCTGGCTCTCTCCCTCCCTCTCTCTCTCTCTCTCCCTCCCTCCTAGGAACAAAGAGTTGGCCACAGTGTCAGGCCGCGCTGGCAAGCCCTGTCTGGATATCCTCCTCGTCTCCCCTTGTCGCAATCTTTTCGGTCTTGTCCTCCTCATGTTCTTCTATTGCCTTCTTGTTGTCCTTCTTTGGGTCTCCTTTGCCGTGGCTGCCAGCCTATCTCCGGTCGTGCTCCTCCTATCATACTCTTGTCTTTCTCTTTTCCTCTCTTCCACTTCCACTCTTCTCCTCTTGGCATGCTCCCCTCATGTTGTCCTCTTGTCCTTTTGGCGTTGTCCGGTCACAGCTTGTCTTTCTTTTGTCCTCTTGGTGTGTTCGTGTTGTTTTCCTTCCCTCATCCTTTTGTCCTCTGTTGGCCTCCTTGTGTTCTCCTCTGGGCTTTTTGTTGTCCTGCTGTTTACGTTGCTTTCCAAAGCAGGCTGGGGCTGCGGCCGCCCACGACAACAATAACTCTTGCCAACTAAGCTGTTTGGGGTCTATGCTGGCTTAATTTGAGGACAAGACCTTGGTCGGCCGGGTGCGCTTCTCTTTCCCACCTGGGCGGACCCTCATCGGCGGCCTAGGCGGGGAGTTTGGAGCTACAGGTACTCTTCACGTCTGTAGAATGCATGGACGAGACAGGATTGATCTTTTCACGTGACTTACTGTAAGGGGATTGGGCAATTTTATCCGAGCTGTTCTTTTTTCAGAAAATCACGCCGCAGAGTTTGTTTGAGTTGCACACGCAAACACCGATGCAAGAGTCGCAAAGACAGGAACATCCAGCCTGTGAGAGTGGGTACTTTGCTCAACCTCCAGACATCCTTGGGCAAAATATTGGAGTCGCCACAGATCTGCTAGGTGGAATGATGCGAGTGTTGGTACTCGTACTATAGATACTCAAAACGTGCCTCAACATGGTTGAAATTCTTCTGACTCAGGTGATGAGAGCGACTCAGATTCTGAGTCTGGAAGTGAGAGCGACAGTGACAGCAGCACAGGAGTCATGTGGAGTCATGTGCCATGCGCTTGGTCTTGGGTATTTGTTGCCTTGTTTGAGCTGTATGTGTTGGGAAAACCACCTGGGTGAGCCCACATAGCTGCAGAACTGCAACTTTTGCACAGGAACCAGCGACAGAGTGCAAAGTAGGATTTGAGTGACAGATCAGGTTTGCTTGACCTTTTTGGCAGGTATGCTGGCGGTATACTACATAGAAGTGGATCAAGCCTTCAGTCAATTTTCATGTAAGTGGGAGAAGGCGTGTTTTCTCAGAATTCTTCAGCACCAAACAGCCCGGAGCAGCTCCGCCTGGCTGCGTTCGGGGCCTCTGATCCCAACCCGCAGGATCCCAACCCGAGGGCGAGAAGAGCCCGGAGGAGATGTTCGAGGAGAGCCAGGGTGTTTCAGGTCCGACACAGGCAAGTTCAGCGAAAGACGGCAGCCCTCTTGGTGTGGTTGTGCGGGACGTCCGGCCCTTCGTCCCCTTCTTCATTCCACTGGCAATCCAACTGCCTGAACGTTCGGATGGACGCAGTGGACATTCGGAGTTGGTGCCGTGTGCTCGTGAACACATCAAGCTGGTGCGGAGATCCGATGGGTGGCGATCGTGGAACCCGTTGACACCTACTTTTCCTCTCCTTCGCGCTTTGTTTTTTATCCTCTTTGTTTCTGTTGCTGGCGGTCACAGACCTCGAACAGCTTGGAAGTCAAAAAACATCTTTCTTTCTACTGTATACTTTTCTTTGGACGCCTCCACTTTCTTTTCGATTCTGCTGCATTTCTAAAGCTTTGTCATCTGCACTTGTCGCTTCCTTCCTTTCTCTGGACACACATCTCTGCTTTCTATACATTTCTATACTATTTACCCATTTAATTCGATACATTTTTAGTATTGATTTTCTATGCTTTGGAAATCCTAGCCCCCGAGCAGCGCGGCCATTCCGTCCCTGGATGAAGGTGCCTTTGCAACCACCCACAGCGCACGGCGTTCGGTGCCGCACATCGCGTTTCCGCAAAGCCGTGCCGTGTACAGTGCGCGTCCGTACCGCGTACGGCTCTGGTGCCTCATTCATCTCTCTTTCGCCTCTTGCGCTCTGGACGCACCGGACACAACCTGTCTTCTCAACTGTTCCATGTTCTTGGGGATCACGCTAGACTGAGATTTGTTGTCTTGATGTAGAAACGCTAGTGTTTGGAGGAAAGATGGGCTTTTCTTTGAACATTGGAGAACATGGGTGAGTAGGCCTAAACTAGTGCCATGTACTGACCATTTCTAAAGCTTCCTCTCAGAACTGGCTTCAGAACTCTTGGCCTTCAATTCAACTACTTTTGGATACTTTTTGGCAAAGCTTCGGCCCCTTTGGACAACTTAATCGAAAATAGCGTCCATAGCCCATAGCCGAGGGCTTTATTTCTGTTGGGGGGGTGCTGGCAGGCTGGGTGGGGGCCGTTCTGAAGAAACCGTTCGGGTCCCACACGGTGTCGAAGAACGTTCTCCAGGACGAGGACGAGTCCCCACACATCGAGCTGGGTGAAGGTGTGGCACGGCGCCATGCGGTGGTCTTCCATGTCGGAAGCCTTAGATGGACGGGGACGAGAGGTGCACTTGGTGGACAGACAGGTGACGATTTGGGTGACGATGTCTTTTTTTGGTGCACATTTTTGTATTTTCCTGATCACACGTCGTATTGTGTTACACGTTTTTCATATTGTTTGTTTGTATTCGCTTCATTAAGTCATAAACTATATCATCCAAAAAACAGCAAGCTCTAGGAGTTTTTTTAATGTCTCAAGGATAACTCTCAGACTCAGACCCTGTATATTTGCATACAGTATACAAGTAGTTCCCGGGCAAGCCGACGGCGGAAGTTTCCAAAAGAGTAAACCTATAGGAAATGGGCATGTGCAGGCTGATTCGCCGAGCTGCGATGTTCTTTGACAAAACAAGTTGGAACCGACCAATGGAGCGAAAGCGAAGCAACCACCGTCAACTGTCTCGCATTTTGCAAAATACAGAATAGAGATGACTCAGCCGCGTACTAAAGTTGTACTACAAAATCGCCAGTTCTCAGCTTCCAGCTCCACGGCTTGCTCCGCGTACTAGAGTTGTACTACAAAGTCGCCAGTTCTCATCTTCCAGCTCCCCAGATACTCCGCGTACTAAAGTTGTACTACAAAGTCGCCAGTTCTCAGCTTCCAGCTCCACAGATTGCTCCGCGTACTAAAGTTGTACTACAAAGTCGCCAGTTCTCAGCTTCCAGCCCCACAGATTGCTCCGCGTACTAAAGTTGTACTACAAACTCGCCAGTTCTCATCTTCCAGCTCCGCAGATACTCCGCGTACTAGAGTTGTACTACAAAGTCGCCAGTTCTCAGCTTCGCACTAAAGTTGTACTAGAAAGTCGCCAGTTCTCATCTTCCAGCTCCCCAGATACTCCGCGTACTAAAGTTGTACTACAAAGTCGCCAGTTCTCAGCTTCCAGCTCCACAGATTGCTCCGCGTACTAAAGTTGTACTACAAAGTCGCCAGTTCTCAGCTTCTAGCTCCACACATTGCTCCGCGTACTAAAGTTGTACTACAAACTCGCCAGTTCTCATCTTCCAGCTCCGCAGATGCTGTGCCTGCCACGAAATCTGCACATCGAGGTTCACAAAGTGCTGTGCCTGCCACGAACTCTGCACATGGAGGTTCACAAAGTGCTGTGCCTGCCACGAAATCTGCACATGGAGGTTCACAAGCTGTGCCTGCCACGAAATCTGCACATGGAGGTTCACAAAGTGCTGTGCCTGCCACGAAATCTGCACATGGAGGTTCACAAAGTTCACACCTCCCACGGGTCTTGTGGCTGGTAGACACCTGGTCCCAGTGATCTCCTTCGCCACAGCTTTCCACAATCTAATTCCGCGCCAAACATGCACCACGTTTCGTTATTAGAGGTGCTCTCTCGGTGCCAAACGTTGCTTTCTGACGGCAGTAAAAATCTTCTCAATTTCGTCCTCAGAGGTGCTTTGTCGGTGCCAAACGTTGTCTTCTGACGGCAGTAAAAATCTCCTCTTCTCCCTGTCTCTGCCAGAAGCCGTTCTCACACTTCCCACGGGTCTTCTGGCTGGTAGACACCTGCTCCCAGTCACATCGAGGTTCACGAAGTACTGCGCCTGCCACGCAATCTGCACATGGAGGTTCACAAAGTGCTGTGCCTGCCACGAACTCTGCACATGGAGGTTCACAAAGTGCTGTGCCTGCCGCGAAATCTGCGCATGGAGGTTCACAAAGTGCTGTGCCTGCCACAAAATCTGCACATGGAGGTTCACAAAGTGCTGTGCCTGCCACGAAATCTGCGCATGGAGGTTCGCAACGTGCTGCGCCTGCCACGTAATCTGCACATGGAGATTCACAAAGCGCCGTGCCTGCCACGAAATCTGCACTTGAAGAAACAACTGAAACCTCTAATCACGATGGAGGGACGATTCCGAGCATGATCCGAGAATGATCCGACCATGATCCGACCATGACCCGAGACCGTCTCGCAACCGTCGTTCCGCGGAGCTTCCCCGTCGAGGTTCGGAGAAGCGTGGAGGTTCACAAAGTGTGCCTGCCACGAAATCTGCGCATCGAGGTTCACAAAGTTCTGCGCCTGCCACGCAATCTGCGCATCGAGGTTCACAAAGTTCTGTGCCTGCTACGAACTCTGCACATGGAGGTTCACAAAGTGCTGTGCCTGCCACCAAATCTGCACTTCAAGAAACAACTGAAACCACTAATCACAATGGAGGGACGATTCCGAGCATGATCCGAGAATGATCCGACCGATCCGACCATGACCCGAGACCGTCTTGCAACCGTCGTTCCGCGGACCTTCCCGGCCGACGTTCGGAGAAGCATGGAGGTTCAAAAAGTGCTGCGCCTGCCAAGAAATCTGCGCATAGAGGTTCACGAAGTACTGCGCCTGCCACGCAATCTGCACATCGAGGTTCGCAAAGTGCTGTGCCTGCCACGAACTCTGCACATGGAGGTTCACAAAGTGCTGTGCCTGCCACGAAATCTGCGCATGGAGGTTCACAAAGTGCTGTGCCTGCCACGAACTCTGCACATGGAGGTTCACAAAGTGCTGTGCCTGCCACGAAACCTGCGCATGGAGGTTCACAAAGTGCTGCGCCTGCCACGTAAAGTGGAGGTAGAGCTATTGAAACTAGAGCTAACTGGAGCTAGAGCTCTTGAAGCTAGAGCTGCCTGGAGCTAGAGCTATTGAAACTAGAGCTACCTGGAGCTAGAGATCCAGAGCTAACTGGAGCTAGAGCTCTTGAAACTAGAGCTAACTGGATGATGAGTGGTGTATGATGAGTGGTGTATTGATGAGTGGTGTATTGATGAGTGGTGTATGATGAGTGGTGTATGATAAGTGGTGTATGATGAGTGGTGTATGATGAGTGGTGTATGATGAGTGGTGTATGATGAGTGGTGTATTGATGAGTGGTGTATGATGAGTGGTGTATGAACCGTTCTTGAATGTCTGTAACACGGAAGTTTTGTACACTAAACTTCCTTTGACAATAAAACAATTCAAGAGGGCACTGCAGACGGCTCGGACGAACAACCACGTTTCTCCATGTTTATTGACGAAACACCATGTTTCTCCGAGGACAATGACCAGAACCTGTGTACCATCTACGCCGCCAGTGAGGAGCGTGTTCTTGTGTCGGCAGACGGCAGCTAGAGGTCGGCCAATATTTGTACCTAGCTCGGACGCAGTTGAAGATGCCGAAGACGTGTGTGTTGAGAACCATGTTCTTTTTTCGTGTCCCCGCAGGTGGGAAGGCGGTGGTCTCCGGTCGACACATGCGACACAAGCGACCGAGAGCGAGGTCCCGATTATCGGAGTCATCCAATTCCTTGGTCCAAGGCCATCAAGTAAGGTGGGTGACGAGAGGATTTCCCCCTGGAAACATGTTTGGCGAGAAGAACGTTTGGAAAACCAAATAGTTTCTTCAACGTGACTCTCTTCATGGGTTCCCAGATTTGATCCAAACTCGAGGCAAACAAGTGACCTCATTCCAGGGATCTCAAAGGGTCGCTTTTGAAGAGCCAGGTGGATGGATGGTTAGATGTTTATTTGTATTTGTTATGTTCCATCCCTTGGAGTCAAGGAATCAAGAACCAGGCGAAACATGTCATGTTCCCTCCTGATTCGACCTGTCATGTCCCCCGATCCTTTGCGTCACCACCGGCCCAAAAGCGGGCCGAGCCGGTGGTTCAACAGGAGGGGCTGAAACAGACCTTCGTGAATGGCAAGTCCCTGCGGCAGCTGCTGAAATCCCAAGGCGACCGACCCCTTGTTTTTCAAAGGGGTTCGGTGTTTCCTCATTTTTTGTAATGGGGTCTACTGTGTGAACTGCTGGCTCGGGGTGGGAGTGGTGTCATTGGCTGGGGCTACTTGCATGTATGAACCAACACCTTGACGCGTGCGCATCCTCCAAAACGCCCACAAACTCATTATGGTACGTAGTGTCAACACCTAGCAAAATGACTGTAATCATTTAGAGAAGGGAAGAGAGAGAGAGAGAGACAGAGAGAGAGAGAGAGAGACAGAGACAGACAGAGAGAGAGAGAGAGAGTGAGAGACTGGGAGATTGGGAGATGGGGAGAGGTAAAGTCCATGCTCTTCTTTCAAAGCAGGTTAAACATGTTGATCAACGAACAAAAGAAAGGACAAGTGGATACGATTGGCAGCCGTTTTGAAGTGCATACTGATCAACATTACCACAGGAGCTCCTCAATCTCAAGTTCGACGGCAACAAGAGTGCTACATTACAGTGTCGGGCCCTTTGCCACATCACTTTGTACCAGGGTGCATGGCCCAACAACTTTGAGGACTCGTCAATGTAATGGGAGTCTGAGCTCTCAAAGTATGAACGTGACAGCAATGCCGCAATGCGCAGCTGCCAGAACAAGTCAAGATAGCAGTCCTCTTGAATGAGACAACAGGACCATTCCAACAACACCGACAGCTGCTACTGGCAGGATCCATCAAACGATGCGCCTATGAACAAAATGCAACAAGAGCAGTGTCCAAAATGGAATGAGAACAACCGACCAACCTAAGCGAGCGTGGAGGACTAGCACCAATGGAGCAATAGCCAAGGGCAATGCTAAGGAAAATAAAAGGACAGCAGGGCAAAGGAAATAACAAGGGAAAAAGGTTAGGGATGGCAAGGGTTATAGTTTTGGCTATGGCAAGGGTTACGGTGACCCCGGTGATAGCAAAGAAAAAGGACAGCAACAAGGAAAAGGACAAGGAGGCCATAGGAGGCCAAGGAAACAAAGGTCACGGCCCGTGTGCAGGCTTTTTTTTCGCCTTTGATCGCCTTTGCAAATTTTCACATGCAGGTGTTCTCAGTTCTTTGTTGTGTGTTGTGCTGTCAAACCGATACACGAACACATGGTTTTTCGACCGTTTTTACGAATTCGACGGACGGTCTGGTATGGCCTTTCGTGGATCTGACCGTCGTTCCTTTCGGACCGTCGGACCGACGCCGGTCCCGCGTCCAAGCTTGGTCAGTGCGCGGAGAGGAACCCGAGCCAAGGTGAGCGGTGCGGTCCGGGGAGAAAAACGCCCCGCGACGAACGCCAGAATTAGATGGTGTGGTTCGTTGGGGGACACCCTGAAGCCAGAAAGTACCAGTCGAGGGTCAGATGGTCACCATGTGGGTCACCATTTGGGTCAGCAAAGAACACAGCCCATGAGAGCGCAAGGGAAGAGAGAAGGACAAAGAGCGAGAGGGAGAGAGGGAGTATTTCCACAGCCATTGACTTCGGACCACAGGCACTGAATAAATTTCAATGTCCATTCGTTTCAGTTTCGGGGATCAGCTTCTGTGGATAAGTTTTCGGTGTCCCACAAGAATGCACACTGATCCCCAAATTAGGTAGAAAGCAGAACCCCCTTCGAACATTTGATGGACACACATGGGTTTGATACCTGGGGCTGTATTTCTTGCAGGGTGTTGTGGTGACTATCTCAGACCTCAGACCTCCTTTTTTTCGCGTCCGGCTCGTCGCCAGGTCTGGAGGAAGTGCTCCTTGGATTCAGATGGAGCGGAGAAGCTGAGAAGGGAGACACATGTGGATGTGACACACGGATTGCCACAGACCATGGGCCAGGGCCACAGACTGGACTGGTTGGGGACGGATTCCTGGGCAATTTCGTCAGGTCCCCGCCCAGAAACCGGACCCACGCAAATTCGTTGCGAAACACTTTAGGCAACCTGAAATCGTTTGAGAAACAGATTGCACTAAACAGCGGATGGTACAGGTTCAGGGTGTGTGGAATATTTTCTCTGCCGGGGGAACGTTCTTTGAGCCCTGTTTCGTGTGGGTCTACTTTTGGAATGTTTTAGCAAATTCTCACAGGGTGTGACCGTGAGCTGACACGCATGCTGAAAAGCGCATGCCTTTTTCTTTACTGCTTTTTTTGCTGAAGTTGAAGTATTTCATCCCTGTCGGATCAGTTTGTTTCTTTTGTTTTTTTCTCGTCGGATCGCTGTCGCACACCGTTTGCTGAGTTTGCTGTATACATTGGTAGCTCGGGTCAAAGCCCGACTAAACCCTGGCCTCAAAAGAATTTGACATCACAGATAGCCTACATCCGTGTGATGCATTCCAACCTTTCCTCCACTCACCTCACTGGATCAAGTGGTTACTATATTTGTTAACTACTCATGGAACTAAGAAACAAAGTACAGACTGTGACTGTAACTATGTTAGAATACCTTCGATCAAGATTTACGCATCCAAACTTATATATACGCTCGCACTATAAAACATGTCGTACATTTTCTTTTCTATGCAGGCCCTCCATTTTGCTAAGACGAGGAACATCCTTTCTGGTATTCATGTGTCACTGTGCGGACACATTTTTTTGACAGGGTTGCCACCACCGGATTCCTTTTTTTGGTGGGCTGCAAGCTTTTTTAGCTGCCGCATTGGTGCTTCTGGCACCGGTCCCAACATAGAAGAAAACAAGTAGAATGCGGAAGGTGAGATGTGTTTTCAGTTCCCCTTGGTGTCGCAACCCATGCATGAGTGGAAACCAAAATGTGATCGGATGCGACCTTGTCCGCGACAAAACCCCTTTTATTCAATAAATTTGTCAATTCTGTAAACCTTGGTGGTAGATGTGGAAGGTGTGCTGAGGTGTTTTGGTGTTTCGGGTAAAATTTGCATGATGCTTTTGGGTGCCCTGTCAACAGCTTGTATCAAACAACATCTACGCAGCAAGCGAACAAGTCACAAGTATCTTAGTCTTAGTGATCTTCGCAACGTCGGATTAACCGCCCCAGTGTCGTCGATTGAGGATTTGTCGGCAAAAAGACAAACCAGAGGCGCGCCCGGGCCATGCGCCACACACAGACAATTGGGCCCACGCGAAATTTGCGGGGCGATGTAGGTTGGGACCGGTGGAGGACAAAGCAATTTTTGCACAACAACCCTCTCCCAGCTCGGAATTGACCTGAAGGTGTTTCAAGAACCACGACCCCCTTTGTTGCATGAAGAGTCTTCGAAGCAAACTGATGAGTTGACAGTTGGCTAACAGAGTTTGGCTCGAAATCGCAACCTGCAGGAGCGAGGGGAGCCTTTGCTTACAGGGGAAATTACTCTGAACAACTAATGTTGGCTTCCGGGCATTGATTCATAGGGTGATCTTCCAGTCAGCACACCAAAAACACAGATAGACCAGGTCGATAAACCACGGACACTTCTACTTTTTATCTATTTTTAGGGACATGATTACGTCTCCCGGCTGCACATTGTATAGAATTAGAGGAACTGGCCCAATGTTTCCAATTCCTTGTGTCAAACCATCCATCTCTTGTCGAACAAGTGAGGTCCATTTCACCCAAGGTTCCATTTTCAGTTTAGGAATCACCTCTGTTTAAGTGGAGGATTCAGTATTCTTTGACCATCTACGCAAGTGGATGTTGAAAAGCGTAGAAGGCAAACAATTTCTTGGACCCCTGTGCCACCACCCCGTTCCTAGCAGCACTTGGAAAAACTTTCACTTCTGACGATGTCTATGCCACTATGTCATACTGGCCATACAGTACTTATTGGTTGTTCACCAGGCAGTGGAACCCCCGATCCCGGGATCAGAAAACCTTGGGGTTTTGCCTTAATGGAATCACCCAAGCTCTTCACGGTGGGTCGTGAAAACCTACTGTAGGGCATCTCATCCAGCCCCCCGCAGGCGGCGGGTATTGAGCTCTCCCATGCGGACACGCTGGTCTTCGGGAGGCGCCGTTCTTGCGGCGGAACCCCTCCGTGTGGTTTCGTGGCTCTTTTTGGGTGCCCAAAAAGGAGGCGTTTGGGGTGCGGGGGGTGGGGGAGCCACACATCCAAACGACCCATGTGATCCGTTCGGACCTTGCGGTCCGGGAGCGCCAGTGCGTGGGTGCGGTGTGTGCGGTGTGGGGTGTGGGGGGGGTGAGGCATTTTTTTGTCTTCGTGGACCACATGGTTTGTGCGCCAGAGATCCTCATCGCCAGCGGCCAGGCCACGAAAACGAGCGGACACGACGAAACGGGGGCCGAAGAAGCGGGGCTGAAGGAGACCATGAGAGCACATGTTCATTCCACCTAATCTCGGCTTTCTTTTTGAAGACCCAGACATCAAGTGCCGTTTGCTCGGCCGGGCCTACATCACCTGCGCGATCGTCGCACTCGATGGACAGGACTCATGTCGTGACGACCGTGCGACGACCCCAAACAGGATTCACCGAGAACAGGTGGTCTCCCGCGTTAGTTGGAGAACGTCTACCCTCGAAAGCCCATTGGGGCTATTGAAATATATAAAAATCTATATTAAAATAAAGATCCAATCAAATCCATGTAATGTAGTTAGACTCTTGATTAATAAACCCCCCCTTTGAAGAGGATTTTCAATTCAAATGGGGCGGTGTATTGATCAAGAGTCTACATTACTCAAGATAGATTGCCCAAGATAGACTGAACCGCCACGAAGACCTGCTTCGCAACTCCCTCTTGGCTTCGAAAGTTTGCAACCTTTCATCAACTACGTGCTTCGAAGCTATGTGTTGCGAGGTAGAAGATGAAATGATTCCGCATTCATTTTCGAAGGTTTGTCCCTGAAGTCTGACTCCGGGCATGTTGGAAGTCTGCGAGGTGGACTATGCGCAAGCCAAGCGTGAATGGCAGATGGAGCTTCTCGGCTGAGCCCTTTCGCTCACAAGGGTGGAATGATACGATCAATGTGCGATGATCAACGTGCGATTCTTCCATTCTTTCTTCTTAACTTTCTATTTTTTGTGTGAACAGTTTGAGTAGTTTGCCACAAGACTTCGATTTCGAGCCCATTGCTGTTGGCATTTTGTTCTTCGATTTCGGAGAGTCACTCAAGGCATTTCCAAACAGAGCATCATGGGGCAATGTCCTCAAGAAAACCCAGAATGGGCTACCGGGAAAACCCACCTGCTATGGGTTTGTATGCCAATAGAAGGCACCATGCTTTTGGAGACATCCATTATATATTAGCAGGGGGTGCCGATAAGGCTTAGACTTTCTTTGTTGGCACCCATTTGATGATTGCAGTCAGCTTGTCTAGAGTCAATAAGAAGTCCCTCATGTTGAGATGGAAATCGATGAGTCCCTATTGGTGGTTGGTCAGAAACCTTCTGTATCCTGTCTTCAAAGCATTCCATGCGCTGAAGAATTCCACCATGGACGATGAACAGGATTTAATATCTGGTCGTTTTTCCAATCGCCAGGTTTCCACGAGGGATGACTGGACTTCTTTTGCTCAAGCTCTGCTAAAGTTCGGGGTAACAGTCACTAAACAATTATCGCTATTTTTAGAGAACGGCATTTACTAACCATCATCGCCCACTGGTGCTGGAAATAGGATAGACCCAAAGTATCTTGGAGAGGATTGGAGGTGAGAGTGAATGAATGAATATGAATGAACAGGAAAGATACAGAGGAAATAAGTAAAGACGAAGAAGGGATTGTCAGGCCAACATTTGTCTTTCTTTCTTTCTTACTTCCCTTAAGGCCTGACAATAAGACCCTGAGCACCCTCACTGACTTGGGGCCCCCTGCTCTTGGCTTTGATTCACAGATTGCCCACAGATGGCCTGTACAGATTGGTGTCTATTTTCCCCTGGCGGGCGCTGTTTCTCCATCTCCGTCCCAGCCAGGCAGTTGAGTGGAGTTCACGAGTCCCTGATCGTGGGTGCCTGGGCCTATCTGGGCGTGTCGGCCGTTTTTTGGCCGCGGGACGGTCTCAGACAGGTTGGACGACTCCCTCACTCTTTGGGCAGGTTGGACAGAAAACAGAGCGGCCGAAGTTCATGTCGAATCTTTTTCGGTTTGATTTCACTGAGCCGGAAGTGATGGTTCTTTTTTTTGCCGAGCTAGCAGTCTGTGGTTTTGTGGGATTCCTGAATTGAAAGACTAAGGCTAGGACACACACCCACATACATAGTTCAAGTTAACCCAGAGAGATACAGACTGAGAACATTTGAGGGGGTTCATGAAGTGTCTAGTGGGATCAAGACCCAGGACCTCATTATTCTTGTGACTGTCAATGTTGGCCGGGAGGATTAAGTATGTCAGGTTCGGACTCCTCCTAGATCTATGCCCTTGTGGGGAAGGTATGTTGATTGAGAACAATCAACCACCCTGGAAAAGGAAAAAACACATGGTCACATGGTATAGAAATTCATTCATTTTGTTGTGGTTGCTGCGAAGAGTGCCTTCAGTCATATGAACTGAAGTGCAGGACAAATGCAATGGATGCTTGCAACTTTGGTGTGAACTTTGAGCACACCTTGAGTAGTCCAGTCGGACCCCCATGTGAAGCTTTCATCAGACCACTTTAGACTTTAAAGATCTCTCAAGGCTCACACCTAGATAAGTATCTCCACCCCCGGATATATATATATATATATATATTTAAGGGCTGCCGCCCCTGCCGCCGACCCCGGATTCTCAGGTCCGGCTTTTCCTTCACTGGTTGGCATTGCGAGGGTTTTTCGAACAGGGGTTTCAGTCGTCCTTTTAAAGGTTGCTCTTCTGGAATCGTCGTTTCTTTCCGGTTCCGTGCCCGTGCGGAGCGTTTCATTGCCTGCTCTCTGGATTGTTTGCTAGCATTTTCCACCACTAACCAGCCTCCCAAAAAGCATCTGAAACCACCCCTTCGCCACGGCTTTAACCCATTGAGTTCAGCTCCAAACGAGCCCCAATTCCTCGGACGTTCGGTGTCAAACGGAGGCTCTGGATCCCTATAGAAAAAATAGAAAAAAGACAATTTGCTAGCA